CAGAGCAACTAGACGGAAGGGCGCTGGCACCCCCAACTACATTTTCACCGAAATATATAAATATAAGTAATAAATATAAATAATAATGAATACAAATAACATAATTTACATCATTATTTCTCCGAGTTACTATCAAGGTTCCTTCCTCGCCCTAATACGCATGACGGCACTTCCGCAGCGTAAGGAGAGACGCCTGAGAGTGTATGCAGTGTCGTAAGGAGGAAAACTGCTTATCTTGAGCACTAATACTAGCCAGTAGTCTGGAACAAGCTTTCTTGCAGGAAGAATCTAGAGGTACAGCTTTTGGGTGTCTCGTCTACAGTTACCATCCCCTACGACGAGGTCGAAGTGATGACATCGACGGCGTAGTGCACGCCCTTGATTGTCGCTTATTGTGGACTTTGTCTGCCCTATGGTTCCAGAACTTGGATCTAGGGAAAATTGGCCGTTCCCCTTTCTTTCCAAATGAATTCATTGGTAGAGTTCTGTGATAAAATCACCATAAGTAATTCATCAATGAGCTTCCCGGTAAAGTGATTTGGAAGATCTTGGCACAGAAGCTATGAATGGATATAAAACCGAGATGACTTGAGAAAACCAAAAGTTGATCCATGGTGAAGAGAACCTCCTAAGCTACTATTTGATGAACATCACTTAATGATCAAAGGAGAGCAGCCAGCCATTTTATGTGCGACATGAGGGGAAAAATTTTCAAAAAATCATACAAGTGGCAGAAAATGACATGATATTATCATGACCGGCTGAAGAACCTTGAAAAATTAAAGGAGACTTTAAACGAGTTCAGTCAAACCCGTTTGTGGCATGGCCGGTCAGTGGTTGGTAGTGGTTGCAATTGGCGGTCAGAGAGAACAGCCGCTGATCAAATCTATCATCATAATGGCAGCCATAAACCCGTCCTACTGCTGGCCAGGTCTCACTGGAATCGACCCTAATCATCTGAAATAGTTACCTAGCGGTGACCACCCAGGAGGCTCTACTATATAGCCTTGATAAATCAGCCGAGAAAAGAGGTAATAAAAAAATAAAAATTTTCAATGGGCCAAGAATATGCGGGGAACCACTTCGAGAATCACAATCAATTTCATTTTTGATCTCCATTTGGGAAGATTTGATGACAAAAAAGCTAAAAATTAAGAGCTCCGAGAAGCAGATATTCAAAGTGAAACTGCAGGATGTTTTGATTTGCAAATTTCTGAAATAAACGACAATGGTAAAAATAAGTGATATTGGAACATTCTAGAGATGATTCTAAAATCGGGAAATGGCTTACCCCATTCGACATTCCCCCTAAGCATCCCACGAAAAGCTCTCGTGATCCATGAAGCCTTTACCATAAAACGTCAGGTGCTTGCTAATGTTAAAGCCCCCTGAGAGCCCTACCGTGCCTCTTTTACCAATCAGAAAATGAAGATTTACTGGGAATACAGCTGCCACGTGCCCTGTGGTAAGCCATGCTTTTGCGCTATATTTAGAATTGCAGCGACAATTGAATACGTGTTTGGGATGGATAGAACAATTTCGGTATGGCCTTAACGATTACAGGGAGGGGGAAATGGTCCGCAAGACTATACAAGATTGAAGTCCCTGTGGATGTGGTCTTTGGACCATGTGATACGTAAAAATACTAATGTTTCTGCCATCGACATGCTTCAATATTTTATTACTTTATAAAGCTGCTTTGGTTACTGTTTACATAAAGCCAAAAAAAATTACTACATAAATGTGAGCGTAGCCTATACTCGACAATATCAATTAATCACTTCTGATACCTCTAGGCCAAAAATTCAAAGATCCTAAAGGAGATCGTGTCTGCCTTGAAAAGCTAGCTGAACTATTGACTAGATAAATAAATATTAAGCTATCATCATCAACAAAATGGTAATACTTTCTGGAATGGATTCGAAAACAAATCTCCTACGAGAGCTTCCGTCAGTATCTTCCATTTCACCCACTCTCTTCTGTTGCTTCTTTAAGAATGAATCGAAAATGTAGGAGTCACAAAATTATATACAGAAACCGTCACTGCTAAAGCCCGGACCAGGTGAAGTTGAGTAAATTTTTGTTGTCAACCACAAGCAACTGCTCAGAAGAGCCGATAAAATTGCCAAGGACTGCTAGCTGAAGGTCACGTACGCATTATTATTTTGTGAACTTCCAAAATGGAAGCGTAATTATTGCTCTTCTGCTAATTTTGCTCTCATTTCAGGTCGGCAAAGGTTCGACCTGAAGTGAGAGCAAAATTGAGACATACCAAAAAAGGCTTTGGTGAGATATACCAAGAAGAAAAGACTTTCGGAGATTATGAAATTACTTTTGAGCGTTCAGGAAGAAATATTGTGATATTCTCGTAGTTCAATGGGAAAAAAACCTCAAAATTTTGTTCCATTACCTTTTGACAGTAGCTGAATTGAGTAGTTATGATGGATTTTTCGTATCCATTTCAGAAAATTCTGTTTACCTAACACGTACAACTAACAAGTTTGCCTAGATACTTATAACCGTAATTGAAGAACACCGGGTGACATCATTGAAATCATTACCCGTCATTATAAAATTTCAATAAATATTCTACTCATATTTGATACTTTGAGCTTTCTTCGAGAGCGTTTTCACAGTGATTGCGGTAAAAATCGCTGATAGAAGAAATGCAGCTGTGATGACAACGTTTGAAGGTGAGTTCCAAGCAATCGGCGCGCAATCCAAATGGGCAGCATCGCACAGATTCCAAGCCACCATGTTGACGCATAAGTGGAACAGCTGAAAGTAGTAACTTGGTGAGAGCAAGCAGAAAACCAACGGTATGAGAGAAAGCTATGATCCATCTCCATGATGAAAGAACAGGGGAGAATAATCAAATTCGGTAGCTGTTTACCAACTGGAGGTCCAGGAAGCAACAAGTGATTTTATCTCCATTGAGGGGTAGAAGAAAGGAGAAGCGCAGTAGTGGCATGTAAATCAGCCCACTCGATAGACGTCTCAAAAGGACTAATGAACGCGGTACTTTCTTGTAGATGAACTATGTATTTCTTTTCCACCTTTCTCGAGAATATTTAGATCATGCGATGGTATTCAGTACAGATCTCTACATAAATTGCCGTGAACTCGTCCGAACGTCTGTGGAGAACAAACTAGGTGGATCGTGAGTGAAAGGGTTTGACAAACCCTACTTGAAGCCTAACGGAATCTCAGCGACTTCCCCTCTTTGCCGCGGAATCCCTGTTTTATATAATTGTCTAGCCTGATTATGGTTCATAATAAAAGCAATCGTCTTTCCCGCTTTGCAGAAATGTTTCAAGATGTGTCGTCTTGAATATGTAGTTATACTAGTATAGTAGTTATACTTAATACTAATTCATTGTAAGTTATCGCTCAATTTGCTCGCATTTACCAACCTGATGGCCATAGCCGAAGATGTCGAATAGACCTGGAGCAAATCGCTCTGGAATTTTCGCTCCCATAAAAATTCCACTGATCATCAGCCAGTTGAAGGCGTTCGTGTGCAGTACTAGGGAGCTGTCAGCAGCCGAATTCTCTGACTAAAGTAAATGCAGGCTGATCAAAACCTAGGTTAGAGGTCTATGGATAAGATTTACTAGATAAGGGTCTCACTGTGGATGTTAGTACGGCACTGGATCCAAGATGGGACCAGTCCAAGTATGTGAAATACTTACCAAATACCTGTCAGTAAGTGGCACATGCACCCAAATGGCTAGTAATAGGCACGTTGCCATCCGAAGTTCGAGCCTCCACGGCCAATCTGGTTGACTAACAAAGAGATAACATGATGAAAGAAATTGTAAAACCAGCACAATCAACATTAGGGAAGGAAGATAAGCCTGCAAATTATGGCATTTCGACTTACGTACTGAGGTAACTTTGGCTTCCTATGGAAAACAATTAGAATCAAATCTTTCTTTTATATCTCCCCTTCATTTCAGTGAATAGAAGGATTGATTCTACTGTTCTCGACAAAACTTTACCATGTGCCCAATTAAGGACATATCGGAACCGCAGCTGTACCGTTGCAATCCAATTGAACAACCAAATAATGCTATACCAGCAAAATCTACTAGGAACCAGAAAATATGATCATGAGGTGACCGTGAGTGCTGAAAGTGTGGATCTCCGAATTGAAATTTTTATTCAAAATGGAAGCTACTGTTGCCTGAAAAGTGTCTCGAGAATATTTCACATACCATTTTTCGGAATATTACATTTCGCGATATGGTGTTCTGACGGGTGTAACCTACGTAATTATGCTCTAATAGGGTGCCAAATCGTCAGATCGTACATGTGGTTTTTCCAAAGTCCTAATTATCGTTGACACAAACTATAAAAGAGTTAAGTACCAATATGAACATTAGTTACCAACGCGCTACCTCTAATGGATACTGCGGTATACAGCCTCTTAAATAACTTCAAACCACATTCTGAATGTGGCCCTGCAAGCCCGTATAAACTCCTCTGAAACGGTATTCTGTACAAGTAGACATAAGGTGCCAATGCAACCAATGTTGCCAGAGCTGCCAACGCAACTCACTGGGAAAACTTCACAGACTAATTTTAGTTAATAATTTCTTTAAGCTAAGGAAGTGTAAGCTTTGTTGGTAATTGAGCAATTTTGTCAGGAAAATAAAAGTGATGCCGATAAATCAGGAAAACCATTTCTTACGAAATCCTATAGCTGGAAGATTGCTTGAAATGGCCTAAACTGCCTCACTAACAAGATCGCCGGGGCAGTCGTATCACATGAGCATTACAAAAGTTCGTATCATATAAATACGAGTATCGTAAGTTTACATTCGTATTTGTGAAGTAGAAATAATTGGAAAAGTCAGGAAAAAACCACGAGTAGTGTGCTAATTGGTTCGGGTTCGGAATGTCGCAATAATATTCAGTTTCACAAAAAAATCGCCGTAACATATATGACAACCCATTAGTAATTAGAAGAGTCTTAATGATTCTGTAGAAGGTTTGGAATCACAGAATGAATTATACTCACCAGTAGATGTGCCAAGCTTGATGCAAACAAAAGTGAGCCGACCCCAGCGTAAAGCACTAAAACGGGTAGCCTTGGCGTTTCGGAGAAAAGCTCCGGCAAAACATAGAAAACTATCAGGCAGATTGCTGGCACTAGATGACTCCAAATATTGATCTGAAAAAGCATAAATCATCTAAATACAGCAATAAATATAGTCCGTTCGGCTCTATAGATGATGCGTCGTCGTTGAGCAATGAGTAAGATGGATAAAAGACAACGTATCTGATGCTTGTTTTAAGATATATGTACTCATAGAATCAGATTCTTTTCAGAACCGCTGATCCAATTGCATACATACTTGGCTTTTATACAATAGCTTACGAAGGCCTGCCTAGTACAAGTAAGTTATACCCCAGGCGAGGTCGGTACCATTCCACGCTCCCAGAAGTACGACAGACTTAGTTGTCTTGAGCAGCAGGATTCGATCGAACGAGCATAAGAGTTATAGCATCTCCCCTTGGCACCTCCCAGCTTCTGCGGACGCTTTGGAGCTGATCACCCCTCCTAGTCAATGAGGTTTATTCAGCCAATGCATTGCCCTCCTTTCACTGGCTATCATCTCCTCCTCACGTTTGCACTAGAACAATCCGCCCACGACTCAATTCAACCCCCTATTCTGTACGTTTCTCTCATTTACAGCAGCTTTGACATTTGAGACAGTAAACCCATATCCATCCTATCTACACAGGAAAGATGGGAAAAAGCGAGGGCTGAAGGACGACAGTACCTGCGAAGGAAGGGATCGTAATAGACACTAGCAAGTACCTATATGAAGTTGTTTATTAACTCAGCTTATCATCATAATAGATGGTCCAGAGACCAGCTATCAAAAGTAAGGTTCACATTTTAGGACAACAAAATCGATTTCAAGTACCACAAAAGTAAGGTTCACATTTTAGGACAACAAAATCGATTTCAAGTACCACTTAGGACAATGCAGCTATTTGCTTGCCTTCGTGTACAGAAAAATTATAAAAAATACCGAAGCGTCGAAAGTAAACCTACCAACTCATTATGTGTACAGAAAGCAGATTTACAGTAATAAGTGATAGGTTGATGTAATGGACGATACCCTTTCACAATATGATTCCGCTTCAGTAGCTGCGGAATCTCGGAATGCGTAAGCATACGCGGCCTGAAGGGAATTTCGCTTTATTGACAAAAGGTAATAGCCGTCCCGAGAGCAAACTCAGCGAACAGAATGCTTGGAAACATTAAACAAATTTGTTTCATCTGCTAATGACAGGTCATTGCTTTTGACAGAACACACGTCGTGGTGAAAGCTCGAACAACATTGCCATCCTTGCATAGAATTGAACAATTATTCACAATTTTTTTTTTTCGAAGAAAAACAGATATGGCGTTTCAAACACAGAAAAATCCACACAGAAAGCGCTAGCCACGAAGCCTCTCATTTAGTTCATATGAGGCAGATTTGCAGTCCATGGACGATGTGATACAGTAATCACACGGAGTGAAATAGAGTAGATCCCAGAATAAATCATCATTTATAAGGCGAATTCAAAAATGCGGTGGGGAATGGATAATCAAATGGGCTTGCTCATCAAAAACTCAAAATGACTACATTCAAAAGTGGTCCTTATCATAACAAGCGGACTTTCCGGTCGGAATCCACAGTTTGGATTACTGTATCACAACATCACAGCAGTCCGAATGCTGACTAAGCAGACCTCTCAGCACTCGCTAAAAGACACTATCATGATGACTTGGATCCGAGCAAAATTTCTGAATAATATGGTTAAGATCCGGCTGGAATGCTTTTATTTACATTCACATTGAATTGCAATGAAATATCAAAGAGCCTATATAAAAAAATAAATCTATAAATAAATAGTCATAATAAATAATAAATTGTAAAGGCATTCTCAGAAGTATGTACATCTGAGAAATATTTATAGTTGAAAAACTAAATTCCGTAGCACAAGAGCACCTTGTTATGAACAATTTTTCATTTCAAACGTGCGAAATACTGTAAAGTCGCTGAGTAAAGGTAGGATGGGAATGCGTAGTGGATGAGAACGAAGTTCTACAGAAGGTATAAGTATGGTTGGAGTGCCATCGAGGTTGCTTATTTGTCAAGAACTTAACACCGTTCAAAAAACATTTGCCTCTTGAACTGTGATGATAAGGAGCACTTCACAGAATAGAACTGATTGCTGACATCGAATGGCATGATAATTCTCAGAACAAAGGGTTGAGGAAAAAGTCAAGTCTTTTTATAATGGCACCGGAAATGCCATGAAAAGGCACTTTAGGATTAGCTCTGCTAAGCACATAAACGGTTCAACTGTGCAGAAATGGCCCTTGCAAAAGGTAATCACTTGATCCTTAGATTTGTATAGTAAAATAGCAAATAAAAAGAATCCGAAAATAACCGGACAATAATTAGCAGGGTGCAGAAAATTCCAGAAATCTGCTCAACCATTTTGATCAATATTGCAAGAATCACCCGTCAAATCATGTTTGCACTTGCTAAAGCTTATTGACACAAAGGTGTGGGCTTTGCAAAGACTTGTATTGACTTGTCAAAACATAACGTTTATGTTGGAGAGATGAAGACAGAGTAAACAGAAAACTCGTCCACCTACATACCTAGGTGGGTGGGACTGCACCTGATCTTTTGCCATTCTGCACCTATCTCTCAGTTCACTTCCTATTTTCTTGATTTTCGTACATGGCAGATTTGGGAAGATGTATGTTGTTCAAGTTAAGAGCCTCGAATTCCTTCAGGTTTAAAAGAGGATGTATTTTTCAAAAAATGAAGCGAGTTGAGAATACCATGGAAGCAAAGTAGATTTTTCCTTTGAAATTCGTAATATGAGAGAAAACATTGAATTGTTCAACATACGACAGCTTGGGATAACCTTTTAAATCTAAAAGAACGGCCGTGCTGGAAGGAAATAGAACATCGCTGGCGAAGAAGTGAGAAAATCGGCAGTTGTAAGACCAAATGTACTACATAAATGAAATATGAAACTCCTTCAAAGTAGCGGAAGCAGGAGGATGTCCGAAACTGCCATGGCGAAACGATATGGAATGGGTGTCTGATTTCAGCCTCTGCGTTACGTAAAGATATAGCCATAGTAATTCGAAATGCAAAAAATCGCCTTCTACTGTCGCGTTGTGTTACATCTAGCCACTTGATTTTCCAACATGTGCGCTCCATTGTTAATAGCACACCCTTTACAACACTCTGAGAACACGTCCGGAAATTATAGTTTGTAGAAATCATTTTTATCGATGACTATGCCTTCAAAATTACCAGCAACCGAGCTAGTTTAATGGAACAGCTGCAAAAAGAATCAAAAGTACACTTGTAGTCTTTTTTTGTATAATAATTAAGATGTATGCAGCTAATTGTTCAGTTGTCTGAAGTTTTTTGTCATTTCAATGAGCCTATGTCTGAGCTTCAGGTAAAGCAATAGAAACTTTGGAAAATCGGAAAACAAGTCAGATCTCGGATTTGAAAAAGTAACTAAGCTTGGCAGAACACCAATGAAAAAACACAAGAAGAAAGGAAATATGAAGAAAAAAATAAAATTTCGAAGTGGTCGACTGTGGGCTACTTTTNTCATTTTTATCGATGACTATGCCTTCAAAATTACCAGCAACCGAGCTTGTTTAATGGAACAGCTGCAAAAAGAATCAAAAGTGCACTTGCAGTCCTTCTTTGTATAACAATTAAGAAGCATGCAGCTTATTGTTCAGTTGTCTGAAGTTTTGTCATATCAATAAGCCCAATTTTGAGCTTCAGGTAAAGCAATAGAAACTTTGGAAAATCGGAAAACAAGTCAGATCTCGGATTTGAAAAAGTAACTAAGCTTGGCAGAACACCAATGAAAAAACACAAGAAGAAAGAAAATATGATGAAAAAAATAAAATTTCGAAGTGGTCGACTGTGGGCTACTTTTTCGGCATATGAAACATAGCAATCTGATGAACGACTATTAGAGGTAGCCAACCACCAGATCCCTCTGTTTTCCTGTGCCTAAGAAGAGAGTAAGAGGCAATAATGGGTCTTCCACGCCCTCAAACCCTTTTTTCTGCAATTCCTGCTCACCCTCCTATCCACGTCACCACTTTTACCACTTCCACTTGTTGCTGAGAATTTCCGATTGGCTTCATAGTTTTTGTGGAGGGGCTAATGAAGGGTTTGACAGAAATTGAGACCCATAGACACCATAGGCTGAGCACTGAGGCGTAATTTAAGGAAAAAGTTTTGCAGGCTACCCGCCGGTTCTTATCATGTTTTCCTGAAAAGTCGTCTAAGAGCGTCATAAGTGGTGATAAGAAGTGCGAGAATATACGAAGCGAAGCGCCAAGACCATTTTGCAACAAATCACAGCAAGTGGATCCCTCAGCCTCAAAAGCCTAGACAAAGATGTGGAATGTGAGTCGATGGAAGTAATAGGTAGCAGGGCAACGGAAATCAAACGAAGGAGAGCATTGGGATTGAAATATGACAGTGGCTGTTGGCTATGGGCTTTTAAACAATCTTCTTACAGATTTGACAGCTTTTCCTATGCAGTACGTCATCATTCAATTTCCGAGAATTGCTTGGCAAGGGTGGAATTGCAATGCTGAAACCTTTCCAGGATAATGAGCTGGGCTCTGCGTTTGATAAATGCCGGAAAATTAGGGGAAAGGGCGACTTTGGTTACTTGCGCCTTGGAGCAACAAAAAAAGACTCGCAAAGAGCGTAATAAGCCCAAGCAAGAACTCATGCTCCCACCGGAATGCCGGTCCCCATCACATATTAAGGCTTCCCAGACAAAGGTTCAGTGTTGGTTCAACTGGCCAAGCTTATCGCGGAGTTTCATGTTCCGGCTTTGCACATAATGTGAAGAAACAAAAATAGACTACGAAAATTTGACCTATCATATTTTCCCAATGAATAGCGCCCTAAAAAGAGCCTGCTGAAACTATAACTACACAAACCTTCGAATATTCTTCTTGAGTAAATTACGAGAATTCGAGGCGAAGGGAGGGAAGGAAGTGGGTTAGGGGTTACCCGAACATATGGCCATGTCATGTCCTTTAATACCAAGTGGTATACCCCGCTTACTCGTTTCTTTGATTCCCGACGTTGTTCGCCTGGCCGATAGGAAACTATGCTGCATCATCACAGTTCAGCTCCAGACAAGCTCACAATCCAAAGTCTTTGAGTCAGGAATTCAATTTAGAACCTTTTTTTATTCTCGCTACTGGAAGCAGCGAAAATTGCATTTCCGGATGCCATAGCTGGGAATGCCTAATTAGTTTATGGAAAGAGAAACACATTCCAGTGGAAGCTTGTCAGAAACACCAGATGAAGCTTGAGGATGAAGCCAAACAGGATTTTCTTCCTGCTTATAACCAAATTCATAAGAAGCTATAAGCGTGAAGTCCTCGGCATAAACTTCAGAAATTCTATCAGCAATCGTCCATGTCGTTCAAGGGTCATTGCTCTGGGATTAGACGGTGGGATGAGAAAGTCTTGTGCCATCACCAATTACGTTTTTGGATACGCCTCGTACTCGCCTTCTCATTAGAATCGTAGCGACCTTTGAATGGGTACGGGTCCAATACATTGACTTGTGATGACTAGCCGATGTACAAGTCAGTGTTTTTATCCTGCTATACAAGACTGGTGCCATATGACCCGTAATGATGGCCTAGGTGGTCAGGGCGAGTATCGATTCGTCATCAGGATTAAGCGGTGGATGTTCTGAACTCAGAGAGAAAAAAAAGCTAATTTACGGCGAAACGTGTTCGCAGGTTAACCCTCCCTAATTTGTCAGAAAGCAATGGAAATTTTATGAGAAATTCTCATTGCTGCAAAAGCACAAAGCCTTTTTCATCGATGAATTAGCGAAAAACGTTGTAACAAGTGGAAGTGACTTTTGCAGGAAAAAGCCTTTCACATGCGATAAGACAACTAAAGCCAAAAGCTTTGCAAATCGAGCGATTAGTGTATATCTGTATGACTCACCACGGTTCATCCGCTTTTTCGGACATCAACTACCTATAGAGGGTACGAACAGCAGCTGAATGCAACCAACATTTACCAAACCAGTAATGATAGTAAATCTGATAAAGTGCTAGTTCCGTCAGACAAGTTAAAGTTG